TTACTACTGGCCGCTCGGCCGGAAGTGACGCCGTGGCCGGTGGGGAGCCGGTGGTTCCCCCACCCCGCTCGTAGGACTTTGCCAAGAGCCTTGCGCGCCATGGGGGGGGCCGCGGGGCGGGGCCAACTGGGCTCCAGCAGCTCCTGGGCGCGGCGCGGGGCCATAGCGGAGCCCCGCGGTAATGTCACCGGCTCCCCAGGGCATGAGGCAGAGCCCCGGGGCGGTGAATCGTGGGGAGCTCTGGGGGGCAGACCCCGGAGAAGCCCTGTGGGAACCACGTGTCTGCTTCGCAGCAGGGACGGCTCCAGACGGGCTGCCTGTTGGCCAGGCGCTGGGCTGAGCCGGCAAAGGCAGAACGGAGAGCGGCCTCGGGCCAAGCTGCTAGGACACGTGCAGGGGAGGCCGAAGGAAACTGGGCGTCCAGCCAGTGCCTGTGGCCCCAAAGAACCCCCAGCTGTGCAGCCCGGGGGTGGGGGGGGGTGGGGTTGCTACTCCTGCGGTGGGACGTTTGGCAGGGGAGGCAGCATGCTCTGCTTGAGGGTGCTCAGAAGAGACGTTTGAGATTTTTTTCTCTCCTGCTCCACCGGCAGCACTCGGTGATCACACAGTGTTTAAGTTGCTTGCAAGAGTTCTGCTTTGTTCTGAGTCCAATTCCAATTCTGTGTGCATAATAACAAAACTTTCACAGCACCCAGTCCAGACTCTCTGTCTGGGAAGCTCAGTCTTTAAAGGCACAGGCCCATATACTACAAACTTTTACAGTGGGGTGGAGAGTAATTAAGGTTATCTCTCTGGGCCACATTTCATTAGACCCTAAATATCAAGAGGTGAAAGGTAGATACAGATAATTACTAGTGTTTTAGAACTACCAATCTCCTCACTTGTACAGGTATGAATATTATTTGTATCTATTATAATCAAGATCTGAAATTACAGCTAGTACTTTCATGTATGCAATAGATTCCAGGACTGAAGTGGACTCTGGGTGTAAGCTTTTATATGTTGTCCACAAGAAGAACTGGATTTGCTTCAATTATAGTGTTGAAAGTTTCCTCAATTGGAGAAGGATCTCCCTCACTCCTCCAGAACAAGCAAGGTCCATCCCTTTGTCCCTGCCTGGTCTGGAGCAGAACAAAGGACATTTGGTGTTTTTTTCGTGACTAAAAGCTTTATTTTGGGAGTTCTCCACCTTCAGAACAAGTTCTCAGAACCACTTGCGCTGAACCTGTTAGTGTCTGCTTATGGAGTTTGTCTATTTTAGAACAATCCTCAGAAGGGTGCTTAAGAGTTTAAACTTCCAATCATTCCATAAAATGTCTGTGTTGTGGTGTATCCTGCCACCTTGTATCAATCAGACAACTTCTTCAGTTCTCAAAATGGAATTTAATCTTTGGATACTTGCACAGGTTTATTCACATACTTATATTCAAGTGAGTGTGTGGAGTGTCCTTAATCCAAACCTGGAGCGAGGTGTGTGTGGGGGAAGTATCTTGTTTTGAAATGATTTTGTTATACAAAAGTAGCATTTGAAAGGTATTTGGGTGAAAATGGTGAATTACAATGAATACTGTTCACACTATTTTTCTCCGGTCTTTAAAGCTGCTGAAATGTGGATATATTCTAGTGTAAAAAAAAAAAAAAAACTGAAGTAGTCATAGAACCATATCCAGTTTTCCTTCAAGTTCTTACAGTTTACCAAAGCCTCCTTTGGAATCCTGGAAATTTGAGGATGAGACTGAGAAAAGGAGAGAAAGAAACGAAAACAAAGGAAGAGGATCAGTAGGGGGAGATGAGAGCAGAGATGTAAGCTGGGGTGGAGTTACTGTAAATGCTGAATATATGTGTCAAGATTTTCTGTGGGTTAGAGCATAATATATAATAAAATTCCCAAAGTGCCCCGTCCTCTTTGATCCTCCTGTGTAAACTGGGCCACTTTCTTTTCAATTAAAAATCTCAGCTCAGTAAAGCAAACGACAATGATCCTCCTAAGTCATTTTGTACTGGCATTTTTCAGGTATGGGCTGTTTTCGGGTGGAGGAAGGCAGTTGCTACTGCTTTTTTATTATCTTAAATGTAATATAGATTTAATTATCAGCTGATATGTCTAGACTGGAGTCTAGGTTAGGCATTCTCTTTAGGTCTCTGTCTTGCTCAACTCAAAATAGATAATGTTGCCATCTGCACGAGCGCCAAGCTAAAAGCTTTCCTCTGATTGGGCACACCTCCATCCCATTCTTCAGCTCATTGGTTCACAGCGTATTAGGTTTTTTTAAAGCTATTAGGCAATTAGTCTGTCCTTGTGTCAGTTTCTCCATTGTCTGGCTAGCCTCACATGAGGTGGGTTCTGGGCTGATATGGGACCAGCCAATCACGGTGCAATCTGATTGTGGTGCGCTGCCGCACGGAATCACTCCGCCTTGCATAGCCGGCGCGCTGTTCAGAACACATGGGACAGGTGCTATTTAAAGAAACAATCAGCAGTTTTGAAAGGGAATTACAGTTTTTTCATATAGTCCCCTTCTACACACAAACCGTGATTGTGGAATTTTTTTTTCTTGCCGGTTGAATAATAGAAACCAGAAATAGACTGTTGCTCATTCTGCAAGGCTGATAAACTGGGATGATTTGAATGAGATTTTTTTAAAAAGATGAATGAAATGTAAAATGCCTAACTGCACCACCCACAATGCAAGAAGGCCTCACCTTAAGAGAAAGGTACTTTTAAAACTGGCTGAAAATTAATGCAAAGTGAGAGGGATTTGGCAGCTCTCTTTAGAAGCATACTAAGATACATGAAGTGAACTATTTGTTAGACATTTATATCAGTTTACTTGTATAACAAGCAGGACATCTTAGAGATAGGAAGTTGCATAAATTAAAAATCGATAGGTTTACAAAATAATTACAACCTAATCTGGAAATCGGAGAGAAAAATAGTGTGGCCTGCTGGAAAAAAGTAAAATTCTCATTAAAGGAGAGAATAAAATTATGATGTCCTTAGAATACTGCTAAAACTATTTGCTTTGTTGCTTAACTACTCCTGTACCAACAGCAGCAAAGAGGGAAGTTATCTATGGACTTTCATTTGCATATTCCCTCCTAGTGTTGATGCAGATAGTTAAGTTTTTTTTTTTGCTCTGGTGTTTGATTTTACTTAGGAAGTATTGGGGTTTCATACACTTATTTTTCTTTCTTGATTAAAGAAAGGTAAAGCAATAATAACTCTTCTCTATCTTAAATCTAGATATATATTTTCAAGTGCCTTAGGAAAGTCACAAAATAGACAGTGCAGACCTCCCTCAGAGATATTGTTTTCGTGCCACCTGCAGATATCTTTAAATCATTTTACATTTGGCCAGGTTATCTTCACACCAGAAGGGCAAGAAACTCAGAGTCAGAGAATCTGCTTCCTATTTTGAAAAGCTGTGGGAAGAGATTTACAGGGAATTTCCATGTAGAGACTACCCTTGCAACAAGCCACCATGGCCCCCAAACCTGACAGAACCTGTAGGACCTGTGGGAGGCCAAGGCCATCCATATGGAGACCATGTAGCCGTGCTGCTTTGTCTCTGTCTTCTTGGATCCCAATGTGATTAAATTGGACCTGAATCACCGACAACCTCCTCTGTCTGTAGTTGCCCCAGGAGGGGATCCGCAGAAAAGGTAATACAGCCTTTCATTGCACCCTACTTCATCCCATTGTGTCCTCCTGGCCCAGTGTGACCCAGCCCCTAGGAAGGTTTTTTTGTGTGTGGAAAAGCAGCACTTCAAAGAAAATTACAACATTATTCAAACTGTTTTCTGCCAGCCTTCAAATGTGCTACAAATGGGTGTATTCTAGTCTCAAAATATCTAAAGTAGCTATATAAGTAATATACTGTGATTTCTACTGTAGCCTTCATTAGAGAGACAAGGTGGCTGAGGTAATACAGTATCTTTTATTGGACAAACTTCTGTTGGTGAGAGAGACAAGCTTTCAAGCGCCACAGAGCTGGGAAATGTACTCAAAGATATGCCTACACTGCACTTAGACAGCAGTGGCTAGTCAGTGCCTGCCGACTCAGGCTCCTGAGAGTGGGGTTAAGGGGCTGCTTAATTTTGGTGTAGGCATAGGGGCTCAGGCTGTAGCCTGAGCGATGGGACCCTCCCATCTTGCAGGGTCCTAGAGCCTGGGTCCTAGCTGGAGCCTGAACATCTACACTGTAATCAAACAGCCCCAAACCTCATGAGTCCGCTGGAACAGGCTAGTGTGGTAGCCTGGGTTTTTAATTGCAGTGTAGACATACCCATAGTGTCACAACTAATACAAGGCCGAACAGATTGTTTAGCACAGTGGTTTTCAACCTTTTTTCACTTGCAGACCCCCAAAACATTTTGAATAGAGGCGCAGACCCCTTTGGAAACCTTACACCCCCAGGGATCCCTGGGCCACTGGTTGAAAACCACTGGTTTAGCACAAGTACTTCACACATATTTCAAGGGACCATTCATGGTGCGTGCCCCAGGTACACCTGTCCAGTCTGGGGGCGAGGGGTGTGGAGGGGGAAATGAGGAAAGCTCAGTTGTTTGTCCTTTTGTTACAGTGCCAGCTTGGAGCAGAGGCTTGGGGTGGCATTCCCCACTGTGACTACATCACCACCAGGGATGACAACAGTAGATGCCTGTTCTCCATTCGTTTATCACTGATCGCTTCCCTTCATGAACTGTTCTTAAATTCCCCCCCCCCCCCCTTTCCTTCCTGAGCATTAACGATGCTGGGGACTGTGCTGCATTTATCCCGGGCTTCTGATTGCTTGGGGTGGAGGTGTGCGGGGAGAGGGGCAAGGTTACCCTGCACGTCAGGGGGTGGGCCCCCTGGCTCGCTGTTATCTCCCGCCCCCGGCGGCGCACTCTTTGCCCTACCTGCCCGGCGGAAGGTTACAGCGAGGGGGCGCGCTGTCTGTAAAGGCGGGCCCGGGAGGCGAGGCTGGGCAGTGGTGGCTGGGACACCGAGAGAGTCGGCCGGGCGCTGCGGATCCATCTCGCCGCTGCCATGTCCCGGGAGCCGGAGATCCTGGAGTCCCGAGTGATGTGGGAGCCCGACTCCAAGCGCAACACCCAGATGGACCGGTTCCGGGCCGCGCTGGCCGGCGCCTGCGGGCTCCGCCTGGGTGAGCGGGGCGGAGGGTGGCCCCGGGGCATGGGGGAGCCCTGCTTGAGCCAACGCCTGGGGGGTGGCAGTGGGGGCAACCCGCGGGGCTGCAGCCCCGTCAGCGCCGGGGGCAATGCTGGGCTGGGATAACCTGCCTGGGTACGGCCCCAGCCGTCAGTGAGGGGAGGCAGTGGCTGGCCTAGGGGGGTTGGGGGCCAGTGGCTGGCCCCAACCAGTCACGGATACAGCCCCATCAGCAAGGGGAGGTAGTGGTTGGGCTTAAGGGTGTGTGTGTGTGGGGGGCAGAGCTGGGCTGGAGTAACCTGCCAGGGATACAGCCCCATCAGCAAGGGGGGGCAGTGGTTGGGCTTAGGTGTGTGTGTGTGTGTGTGTGGGGGGGGGGGGCAGAGCTGGGGCAACCCTATAAGGTTACAGCCCCATCAGTTTTTGATGTGTGACTGCACTGACATCAGTGGAGTTACACCTGACTTGCACCCTGGGAGTGAGGTGGGAACCAGGCCCTTTGGGTTATTGCATAACTAAGACAGACAGGGTCCCCTTAAGAAATATCAAATATATTATCTGCAAATAGTGCCGCATGGGGGGAGTCACTTTCTGAGAATGAGTTGCTTACGATTCCTAAAGCATGTTTTGAAACCTTTGAAGGATCCTGAACCCTCTTAGGTCTAGAGGGTAGCCCAGGCTATGAACAGTCTTTGGTGCCCTGCCAGTGCCTAATACATGAAGAGGCTTCAAAATGCTGCATCTAGTTTTATTAGGAACTAAGAGAATAAGAATAAAAATGGATGGGTTTGCTGTCAGTCTTGGCACTGGGTATCAGCTATAACAGCATTAATATTAGTGGCTACTGTGCACTTATGACTTCCAAGGACATGAATATCAGGTGTAGGTTTTGTTTTGCAAAGGCCTCTATCAAGAGGCAAATTCTGCTGTCTTGGTTTAAAATTGATCTGTTTGGGGATCCCAGGCCTATGAGTCTGTTAGAGAATTAATTTACATACTGCTGTATGCACATGGTATTACACAGTAGCATGTCGGTGCTAAACTAACTACATCCTAAAGGCTCAAGTGAGGACAAACAGTACAAATAAGACAGGACAAACAAAACGGGGAATGGCCATCTCTGAGTATATGATTCGTGAAGAGCATGTGGATCTGTAATTTCTGGAAGGAGGAGACAAAGGGAGTTTGTCCTATATTAATAGGAAGGTTATCCCATTTATATGGATTGATGTGGGAACAAATAGGGTAGTGATGAGAAGCTTAGGTGGAATGCAAAGGGCAGAATGGTATGTAGGAGGTTGAGATTAGGGCATATGTAGGCAAGACTAGGGTAAAATATGTAGGCAAGGGTGGAATTATGGTGTGCTTTGTGGATGTGGGGGGGGAGAAGAAGAAGTTTGAATAAGATATGGTGGAAGAGTGGACACTGTCGATTTTCAAGTAGTGGGAAGACCTACTGGGAACATCTGGGTAGAGGTTATGTTGGCAGTGGCTGCATATCTTTGATCAACTGGAGGAATGAGTGAAGAGAATGTGGCAGGCCAGAGAGATATAGGCTGCAGTGATTTAAGATGTCCCGAATGCTGGAATGGAAAAGAACTGACTCATTTTTATATAGGGATCTTAAAAAATTGGTGACAGGATTTAGCAATGGCCTGGGTATGAGGAAAGAGTAGAAGAGACAAGTCAAGGATGATCTTCACATGCATCTATCAGTCAATCTCTGGTGTTTCTAAGGTGCCGGTTATCATGCAGTCTAAGCCCTCAATCCGAAAAATTGACACTTACTTCCCAGCTGAAGGCATCAAAACAGGAAATAAATGGTTGTAGCACTTCCTGATCTGTCAACCATTGACAATGTGATGGTGACTGCTTATACCTAGGGATCTTGCAAAGAGGAGGCTCATGATGTTTATACTTAGAATTTTTATTCTGTATATCTCCGTGCTTTACAAAGGTGGGCAATATTTTTCATTTACAGCTGGTGAAACAGACATCCTGAGGTTGAGGTCCAAGTTTTCAAAAGTCATTAGTAAATGGGGGTGCCTCAAATGTTGGGTGCCCAGCTTGAAACAATTGGGACCTGACTTTCAGGGGTGCTGAGCATTCAACTCCATTTGAAGCCATTGAGGACTGAATGCTCCTGATGGTGACCTTTGTGGTAGGGAATGGGAATAGCTTATTAACAAGCAGAACATTTTGTTCTTTGTGAGGGCCTATTGATGTATGGTTCTCAGATGGCTTGACAAAGGAGGGGGCTAAAAATCTATTCTGAATAAACAAATACACATTTTTCAGTACATTAGTTAATGGCTTGAAAGCAGTCAGGTGAGCTGAAACCATCTGTTACTAATGCTATGTCGGCGCACGTGCGTTGGGGCAGATGCTCTAAGCCGATGGGAGAGAGCTCTCCCATCGACTTAATGACTCCAGCCCCTGCCAGTGGGGGTAGCTATGTTGGTGGGAGAAGCTCTCCTACTGACATAGTGCTGTCCGCACCGGCGTTTAGGTAGGTATAGCTTGCGTCGTTCAGAGGGATGCTTATTCACACACCTGAGTGACATAACTTATGCCAAAGTGAGTTGTAGTGTAGACATGGTCTAAGTTGTCTGTGTGGATCAGTCACTACTGCTTAAAGTCATATTGGTGATACCCTTAGCAGGGAAATGGCTGTTTATCTTTTGGATGCCTCAGATTGTCCCTCATTAGACTTCTTAATGTGGATCCATGATCAGTCTACTCTTCCCCTTCCATTTATTCCACTTCATCCACTGACTTTCTAAGCTGGTCGATATCCTCAGAAGTGTTGTTTAAAAAATACTCTTATTGTTTTGTAATTGTAGATAAGTACACTAATATACATTTTACTTTTAGCCAACTACAATGAGTTGTACCGGTGGTCTGTCGAGTCCTACTCTGATTTCTGGGCAGAATTTTGGAAGTTCAGTGAGATTGTGTTCTCTCGTCTATATGATGAGGTAAGTCAGTGCTTACTTAATTTTGGTGGTATTTAATAACCATCATAGTCTTTGTAAAATTGGAGTAGGTAGAGGGATGGGGAAAGGAGGTGGAAAATCAGTTTTATTAAGCAAACAGAGTCCTGTGGCGCCTTTAAGACTAACAGATGTAGTGGAGCATAAGCTTTCGTGGGTGAATACCCACTTTGTCAGACGCAAGGTGAAGGCTGTGTTAGTTACTTAAGAAACATATATCCTGGCAGTTTACTGAGCTGTCAGAAGGCTGTACCTGGTGCAGCGTTCAGCATGTAAAAGCATCCAGGGACAGATACTGCCTGTGGACCAGATTGTGCCATTAAAGCACTGGCCCACATTGGGGGCAGTCTGGACTCTTGCTGCTTCAGGAGAGGAATTGTGCCTCTGGAAGCACAATTGATCCCGATCTCCATTAAGTGAAACACTTGACTGTTACTGCAAATTAGTCAGTTGTCTAAATGCTAGAATATTCACTTGCTGTTAGTTACAAACACGAAAACTGGGGACATAGCTGAGGCCTCTTTCAAACCAATGCCCCTAAATACATAGTTGGACAATACAGTGCTTCCTTGTGAGCTTTGCTGTTGTAAAAAGACTTGGATGGTAAGTTCAGAGTTGCCTCTGGTCAGACACATGCTGAGCACTTACAAGCATAAAAACTCTCTTCTTTGAAAGAAGCCCTGTAGCTGAAATCTTACCAAGCTTTTGTAGAAGGCAGCTTTGTACTCGACCAGACGAATTTACTCATTAGAATACCTCCACCATCCATGTGATAGGACCTGAGGGCATAAATTGAAGCTTTTTAAAAAAACAGAACATTGTATGGTCATAAGAGAACATTTTAATTTGGAAAAATAACTAATATGTACTCTACATGGCAGCTTAAAGCAAAACACTGGAACCATTCAGGAAGCTTGAAGTAAAACTAAGCAGTTTTTTTTCTGTCCCAAATGCTAGAGATACTCCTGAAGTGTGACTTATTGTAACATAATTTGGGGAAAATTGTGAGATGGGAGCCTGAAACCTTCTTGGAACTGATTAGTTCAAGATGTGGCAGGGGATGTTTCTGTTGCACTTTTTTTTTTTTTTTGGTAACTCCTTTCTATTGTGGTTTTCCAATCTATTGGGGGTCTCAGATCCCTGGATGGATGGATCTTTGGTGTGGCGTTGCTTAATGAATAGATAACTCCTTTTGCAGACTTATGTGCAAGTCCTAGATGGTGCAAAAGTTTACTTAAGGCACAATAGGATCCTATGCACCTAGGAGCGGAGACAAGGAGAGAGCACTACCTTTGCAAACTCATCTTAACAACCCCCTACTCTTGTGTGTCTGGCAATTAAGGCCTGGTCCACATATTAAATTGCATCAGTTTAACTAAATTATTTAAACATAGCATGATTTAAAATACCCTGCAGCTTCTGTTTTTTTTTTTTTTTAGGCAAGTCCTAAATTTAACGTTTACTTTAATTTATCCCTAAAAAATGCAGTTAATACTTACCTTTTGTCAAGCACTCTGAGATCTCCAGATAATATCCAGCACTTCCTCTGGATTTCATAATTAGAGCTAGGGGTGTTGGACATCGCATCGCTTGAACCTCTTGCTGGCGTGGCACTCAAGCTCTGCCTGCTTGCAAGTTGGACAGTACTCTGTCACTTGGGCACCAGGGTAGACTGTTCCTGTGAAGAAAACACTGCACTCAGTTTGAGATTAGTGGTAAATTTTTATTGGGCTCAGTGGGGGAGGGGAAACCAGGGCAAACAATGTAAATACAAGTTTGCCTTGCTATGTGTCCATAGCATGTTTTTATAAATTGGAAGTGAGAGCAAAAAGCACACTTTCTAGAAAGGCTTTACTTGTGTACTATTCAAGAAGTCTTTCAAACCAGTCATTGTCACCAAGGGGTTTAGTTTGAGGTATGTGCATCTCTGTCTTGAACTCAGGACTGGCAGACAGGAACGTCTGAGTTCTGATCTTGGCTTGGACACTGATTCCACCTGTGGCAATGGGCAGGTCGCTAAACTCTCTGTGGCCAAAGTTGCGGGACCTAGCCTGTCTGCCCTTCTGTAAATGGAATAATGGTATTTGGTTGTTAAAATGACTTCTCTAGCTAATGTCTGTAAAGTCCTCTGAAGATGAAGAGCTGCAGGTTTTCCTATTTTCCAAGGATGTCTGATACTGTTCCTGCAGGTAGTTGACCCATCTAAGGGAATTGCAGATGTTCCAGAGTGGTTTAAAGGCAGTCGGCTCAACTATGCAGAAAACCTTCTGAAGCATAAGGAAAATGACAAAATTGCTCTCTACGCGGCGAGTAAGTATTTAGTTGTGACTTCCATTAGCCAGTAGCCCTTGTGTTTTTCACTTGTGAGATAGTGAGTTTGTCCAACTAAAATGGGCAGTGCTTTTTTTTCCACGTGCCCCATCACCTTCTGATAAACCTTGAGATAAAGTAGGTTTTGGATGAAGGGGGAGGTGGACAGCAAATCAGCCAGCTTAGAAGCATCTGCCCAGGTCCCCTATCTTGGAGGATAGTGAGAAGATGGGCTGTGGTGGCAAGCAGCCAATTCTGGAAAATTCCCTATGGACTGGTGAAATTGAGCTGGGTTAGTTGGGGTTATGTTGTGTCTTGTTTAGCACCATCATCAGCCCTTTCATTTAATAGTCTGCCTTCCAGCATCGTTGGAGTTTCCGTTATAAACACTTGCTTTAAAATGGGGTCTTTCTGATGCAGTCACCCCTAATCCGTTACCTTAGATATGGTCAGAGATTTGAGGGGTTTAAAATCCTTTTTTGATATTACAGGAAGACAAGGTCACATGGGAGTGGGGAACTCCAAACTTCACAGTGCAGTAACATCAAAGTTCAGTTAAATACATTTTCCCCATTGTAATAGGCTAAATTTCAGGAAAATCAAGGTTTTAGGATGATGGATGGAATCCTCTATTAATGGATGTTTATTGCCCTGTTCATACACTTGAGGTATAATTGTGCTTTAAAAAAAAAAAAAAAAAAAATGCTCCACAAACACTTGCTGCTTTAAGTCTTCAAGTCACGAATATACATGGAAGAGAATTGTATGAACTGAGCTGAAATCCAAACATTATTTGCATTGGGTCTGAAGAGGCATATCCAGAAGAGAGAGAGATTCTGGCACTTACTTACATGATCTTTATTGCACATTAGCAGATTTTTGTGTGTGTAGTCTCTCCTGTCTGCAGCCTTTTTTTTTTTACAATATTGGCTCATTGTGGCCGCTCCCTCCACCCAGAAGTGCAGCAGTGGAACTGCTCTGGGGCTTCTACTGCAAACACACAAGCTGTGGTAACTGGTGTGCCACCATTTATCATTTCCTAACGTAATTTGCACCCTTAAGAATCTGAATAAGTGTAAGTTATGCTATGTAAGTGTTTTTAAATAAATGTGTGAGACTGCAGTATATCTCCTCTTTAGCAAAAAGATGCACCAAATTTAGTGTAAAGGCTATATCTGGTATCAGAGCAACGAGCTTTAATGGTTACCAATCGATGAGTCAACTTTTTTCAGGAAAATAACTATAAAGTACAAATGCAAAACTAAGATTAAAATTAATTTTAAATCAAAGCAATTTGAATCCTGATTTAAATCACCCAACCCTGCTTGCATGTACCAAGATTAAGATTTAGCTTTAAATTTGTCATGGAACTTGGTTTTTTTTAATATGCATAAATGGGCAGAGCTTAAAGATGTATACAGAACCACCTGAACAGTGCAGTTCACTTACTTGTTTCCTTTCAAAAATCTAAACCTTCCTAGTACCTCACAATATCAAATTCTTTTTTTGTAACTGTTTTTTTAATTTTTATCTCCTACCCTAAGGATTTTAGTTACACACCTTGGAAGGAGATAATCTAATTTAAGGTGTGTGTTGACTCCTTACTGAGTTGTATTCTGAGCTCTCCATGTAGCTTTAGCCAGGCCTGATCCTTCCAGTGAGGACTGGCAGAGACAAATGCCTCTTTTAATTGCTTAATAATAATCAAAGACATATGACCTGCAGCCTGAACACTCCAATTAGACAAAACATGACGCAAAATTTTAGGCTCACTATTGGAATTGTAAAGAGTCTACATGGGATTCTTTTTCTCTTGAATATGGAGAACAGTTAAGTCCCCCCTCTCCCCCCTTAGATACATAAATAAAAATACAGGAGAGCCATTTGCAGTAGGTTACCCTAATGAAGAAGGAAGAGTATAAACAGATGCATTTTGTTTCTTGGATTAATTAAAATGGAACTGAACACCTGTGTAAAATCTATACTGAGTCAAGAGAGAGTGAGTGGCAAAATCTGTAACCTGGTTCAGCTGCAACAAGAAGTGATCTGTTAAAGTGTCATTGAAATGAGGCTTATGTAGCTTCAACCTTGAAAGATCGACTTGTCACTTAGCTGCTTTTTTTTTTTTTTTTTTTTTGATATTAGTATTTTTTATTTATAATATATTATAAAAGATTTTTTATTTAGTTTTTTTTTTTTTTTTTTTTTTGAGAGCATTAGAAACATGTATTTAAGAGAAAATGCAGTTAGTTGTTTTTAAACAAGCCCTCTGCAATGGCTGCAAGGCAAACAGTTAGTGAAAGTGGGTAAATCTGTGAAACTGGCTTTAATTGACTTTCATTGTCTCAAGGAAAAGGTTAAAAGTAAAATGAGGTAAATAGTTTCTAAAATTCTTTCAGTTCTGATAATCTAAGGAATTATGAGTGAACTGTTTTAATGAATTAGTTGGTTTAACATATGATTGTTGTCCCTTTTATGTAGAGATTAGCTTTGTTTGTTCTATTAGGTGTACCCGAGACTCCTCGCTTTGTTTAGCTTAACCATGTAATTCAACATCAATAGGAGGAAACAATATTTCCTGATTGACAGGATACTTTTTAATACATAGTTCTAAATCTGCACTATTATTGATTTCAGCATGGGCAAGTACTGTACGAGTGCATGAATGCAGTGAGTATCAGTACTCCTTATGCAGAGAGTACTGAGTTGCATCTGCATCTTTATTCCAGGCCCTTTTCTGCATTTAATCTTCTTAAGTAGTCTTATTTCAGTATATTACTGCTGTGTCAGAATGGAGCTTAGGGAATTTGTCTGGTTCCAGCAGTCATTGGTGGTGGTTTTAAAGGAAGGTTGTGGGTATTTCAGACGGAAGATTAAATGCAACTTTTATAAACCTCTATCCCCTTCCATGCAGACCTTTAATTTGGATTGCATCTTGGCTCTTGTAATATTTCCCACAATTGGTTATGAATGTTTGAGGCCTACTACCCACTCCACGGGCAGCTAAACTTGCAGAGGAGGAAGAGCAAATATTATACTCTGCTAAAGGAGCTGCACTGACGGTAGCCAGCCTGCTAGAATACATGCTATAAGATCCAGCATCACTAGCGCAATTTACTTGCCACATTCCTGGACTTGTGTATGTGTGTTGGGAATTCTGGACCTTGGAGACAGGGCAGGCCCACTAGTCAGTGGGAGACAGACTGGGGAGCCAAGAGAAGACAGTTACATTTCATAACTCTTAGACATTGTCTTATTTTATTTAGCCAATTTATTAAGGACTTATGTAACATCTAGTCTTGGGTACAAAAATTTAAAACTCCCCATAGTTCTCTCTTGAGGTGAACCTGGCCCAGATGAGTATATTTGCACTGGAGAAATACTGCAGAATTTTCTTCTTGGCATCTTGGAGATCCTAGAATGTTAGGAGGCCTAGAGTAGACCCTAACTGAGACCTAACTAACAGGATTATACATTTCTTTAGTCACCCAGTGATTGGCAAATTTAAATAAAATTTAACCTTAACAAACTGATTGTTTTGGGTTTTTTTAGCTCTAATTAGAAAACTAGGCAGCAGTCTTTCTTTTTTTCCCTCTAGATCAGAAAGGTATGGGGGAAAGCAGTTCATGCTTTAAATTTGAAACAAATGCTGTTTGACTCTTGCCTATCTACAATCAACAACTTACATTTTCAGGAACAGATGTACAGTCCTGCCCTGTAGTGAGTGAATCCCATCCATTAACACAGAGGTCTCATTATAAAGACAGGCTTTGCACAGGACAAGAATATTATTAAAGGGCCAGTGTTCACAATTGTCAGAGCTTTTTCCTCAAAATAGCATCCTTTCTTTCCCCCAGGATGAATCTGTTGCAGTAGACTCTGGTTCTTAGATTGCAGTGTACCATTTCTAATTGATTTCTGTTATAAACCTTTTTTCTTCAGAGGAAGGCAAAGAAGAAATCTTGAAAGTCACTTTTGAAGAGCTAAGACAAGATGTTGCTTTGTATGCTTCAGCCATGAGGAAAATGGGAGTGAAAATAGGAGACAGAGTTGTTGGTGAGTAAGCTTTTGGGCAGGGCTGCAGGGGAAATATCCCTGAAGCAAACGAAGTGAGTTGTTTGGGGCTCCAGAAATACAAATATAGGAGGAGCACACCAAAGAAAAGACCCTTGTGCTGGTGCATTTATATTGCTTTGAAATATGCTTGTGGAGGGATGGAAGCTGGTTTAGCCTCAAGTTTTCCATCTCTGGAGGAAAAAGTAAATGATTTATTCATAACTTTACACTGAGGTCTGTTTCACAACTTAATAAGCCCTCTGTGGAAGTCAAAAGTGAGCAAGATGTACACAGCCAACTGGTGATCCTGTTAATAATATATAACGTCGCTGCAGCAATTTGAGCAGATTAATACTCTCATTGAACTCTCTATCATGTTTTTATTTTGTGTCTTTTTTGTCTCATGAAGAACAAACGATATTGGCTAAATTCAAGCAAAGCGTAGGCGAGCATTATGCAAGCTTCTCCTGTTCAGCTCTGTCAACACACCTCATTGGTGATTTTTTTTGCATTCAGTTTTCTGATCCGTGTAGTATGTCTGAAATATAGCATAGGTCTTTGGGGCATGGATCGATCTCCTCTATCTCTGTCTGCACATCATATGTCACACTAATGGTACTTGCAAAAATGATGATGTACAGTCCTTTCATCTTTGGAGATCTGGGTTCAAGTTCTCACTTGTGCATGCCAGTGGGCAGTGGAGCACATCTTAACCCTTGATATACTGTTATGCCACCACTGCTCTAACTCCCCACCTGTAGATGTCTCTTGAATAGTATCTATGCTAAATTGTATGTTGGTCTTGGGGAGGAAACAATAATGAAACTCACTCTCACTTATGACTTAAGTAGGGTTACCAGATAGCAACTGTGAAACAACAGGACAGGGGGTGGGGGGGGGGGTAATAGGCGCCTATATAAGAAAAATTCCCAAAAAACAGGATTGTCCCTATAAAAACAGGACATCTGGTCACCCTAGACTTAAGTGAGAACACAAACCCAGATCTTCAAAGGTGAAAAGATTGGGCATCATTATTTAAGTCACACTAATGGTACTTCCAAAATCTACAAATGGAAGTAGATGAAATCCATGCTGCAGAGACCTTTACTCTAAGTGGAACATATACTGTGCTATACAGATCAGATAACTGGACCTTCAGCTGATATATCCGCCTCTGGCTTGGTGAAAGGGAAGGACACTTATTAAATAATACACGATGAAGTCCTGAGGCCCTTACTTGGGTGAAATGCCTGTCAGTCAGTGGAGCTTTGCCTGATTAAGGATTGCCTCAGACTTTATCCTGCTGGTGTCAGGTTCATAACTGACAGGAAAACACTTTTAAATCTGAAACCAAATGTTGAGTGAAACTAATGGGTGGAGGAAAGTTCAGATTTTAGCACTTGCATCTATATGGTTCCAGTTCCACCTCTTATTTGGGGCATGGTATCTTTAACAAGTGCAAGTCATGTATGAATGAAGTTCAGACTTCGCGCTTGCTACTGATTATTCACCACAGCAAACAGTCAAATCGCTACAAGTAACAGGAACCGAAGGCATTTGAAAATCAGCCTGAGTCACATAATTGTCCAGTTCCTTTTTCAGATTATCTTTGTAGTGTCTGATTGCGTGTAATTGTGGAATAGACTGAGCAAATTTGTGCAGACTTTGAGCACCATCTATTCTGAAATGAAGTTTCCCCTGGTATGCACAGAAGGAAGTCTGCAGACACTAGTTTGTAGACAGTACTTCATGGAGAGAGGGAAACAAGCAACATACCTTGTTTTATATTGTAAAATTGTGACATCTTTTTTTTACCACAGAACATCTCTGCAAGCAGATGTTCTCTAAACTGTATGCTGAAGTGGTGCAAACTGTGTTAAATGTTCATCTGCATCCAGAGGGCTCTCCTGTGGTGGAGTGTGGTGAATCTCATCTGTATGCTGAAAAAGCAAATTTAAGTTAAAAAAAAAAAAAAAAAATTGCTGAGGGGAAGCATTGGAAGGGTGCAGGGAGAAATTTAGATGTGGGACCACAGGCATGTTTTGGGAAGCTGGAAAACTTAGCATAGGGGATGTGGAAGGATTGCAGCACATTTCTAGCCTTCAGGGTTGAGTACTGGCCCTGCAGGATCTT